GTTGGGGGGAGTAGTTATGTCAGCATGTCCCAGAGACAGCAGCAACACAGAGCCGTCCAGCAGGCCGTCAGGCATGTGTCTCCTGAGTCGGCCCTTCTCCTGTCCTCCACCACGTACACTGGAGAGAGAGAGAGAGAGAGAGAGAGAGAGAGAGAGAGAGAGGTCAACAAGGTGATGGAGAGAAGAGGGGAGAAGAAAAGGGAGACAATTTTAAAGAAAGCAATTAGTGATTTGTTTTCCTCTGATCGCATAAAACCGGAGATGATTCACTGCCGGGTCTTCAGCGGTACGCTCGAGTGTAACCGTGGCTGCTATGATTTTGTCCTCTAACTGCGTTCATCACGGGAGGCGCATCGCCATGGTAATGCCATGGCAGCCCGGGCGCCACGATCAGCCAGCGGTTACGGTTCAGTAACACGAGCGCTATTCTGCGGTATCGTTATACACCGACGACACGAGGAGCATCAACCAGACGTGTTCCTATATCGTCACATGTGCTTCACCTTCAGCCAATGCTGAAGGTGAAAATTGAGTAAGGGTATTGAGTAAGTCATGAGAAAGGGTTATGTTACCCACATGTGAAGTTTACCATCTGTCTCTCTGTCACACACACACACACACACACACACACACACACACACACACACACACACACACACACACACAGACACACACACACACACACACAAGCAAGTCAAACAACAGGCCTGAATGAAAACATCTCCCGTTTCTTGTGTTTGTGATTAATCATTCATGTGGAGGGAGACGGACATCCAGCACACAACAACCAGGCGCAGTGACTCATGACATAGGGCTGTGCGTTGCCAAGGTGACCGCTAGATAAGGTGAAGCCGGCTCACCGCGCTGGACTCTGATAATGAAATGACTGGTTAATGATTGGCCAATATTTATAATGAATGTCTCTGTAAGTCAGAGCGAGGTTCTCCATAGCAGAACATTCGGCTTATCTCGATCAGTTATGCGAGCAGCGACACCTCACCGACTCCCTCTAATACCTAAAAGGTGTCCAGGGCGTTCTCTGGAGGCTTCGCTTTAAATATTTTATTACCGTGACGTGCGCTTTTTCTGAGCTTCCATTGTGGATGCTCAGTTGGGAGGTGCTACTGCACCGGCACACCTTTTCATCTTCAACCGGCTTGACTTCTCACTTCTAAATCCTGAATGACTTGCTGCTCTGCGGGCTGACACGTTCTTGTCCCACCTGCTGAAGCAGCTCACTCATCAATCAATTAGTCAGAAAGACAGAATGAACGGGCAACTATTTTCATAATCGATTAAACGTTTAAGTTTTTTGGAAACATTTGATGGTTCCAGCTTCGTCTTGGGCTGGGAGAAATTGGGCTTTTTTTGCCACTTTCAAACTTTCGAGCTCAATCAATTTTATCTGGAAAATAAATGACGGATTAATTGCTCATGAGAATAATAGGTCCTTTTTAACAGTAGACATTTTCCCTTGTTGTCAAAGTTAACTAACATTAAGGTGTCTCCGTTTTATTTAAGTGTCCCATTAAGCTGTGACAGTGTGACAATGAGCCGGCATGAACAATACCAGCACCCTGAAGCTTAATAGAATTCAGTCATCACTCATTTGATTATTTGCACCTGTGCTTTTTCCTCCTTTCTTCTGTTTAAAAAAAGGCCTACTACCTGCAGGATGTAACAGAGACAGTCTCTGGGCTAATTTAAGGCTTTGAGGAATTCTGATTTGAACGGTGCAAAACTGTTTAAGTGTTACGACGAAACTCAAATGATCCCTTCAATACTTTCCAATTTCTGAATCACTGTTCTTTCATCGCAGACATTTCCCACAGATTCTTAAATACACGAGTCCGTTGCACAACAAAAGACTCTGAAACATCAAATAATGAGGACGGCGCAGCTAAAAGCTAATGTGATAAAAGGGAAGAAATGCCATTTTCAGGAATCAATACCCACTAAAGTGTGTCCCCTGCCATTTAACAAAAATACAATCTCTCATAACGACACGATCAAGCCCAAAGTCAGAGTTGTGTGGTCTATTAGATAGCACTGTAACAGCTCACACAGCTATTGGTCAGCCCTTGTGTTAGCAGGTTAGCTCGCCTCTCCCTCGTGGTCGTTGAGACTCTCGAACGTATCCGGTCAGAGGAGGAGCCTCTTCTACTTTTTAGATCATACATCTTCTGTTCCGACAACATTATGAATACCATACATATGTTCCCACTCACCTGTGTTTTTGGGAGCTTCCCCATACATAGGCCCAGGTTGGGGCCCCCCCTGCCAGCCAAACTGTGGTTGCGGTTGTCCCGGGTACCCATAAGGAGGCTGTCCTTGGTCAGGGTAAGGACCTCCCGGGCCCATTTGTCCCGCAGGGTATTGTGGGTACCCTGCATTAGGCTGCTCCATGTTCACAGGGTACCCCTGTGGAGGATAGCCCTGAGGTGGGTAACCCTGAGCTGGGTAGCCCTGTGGAGGCGGGCCTTGGGCTGGGTAGCCTGGAGCAGTGGGGCCATTGCCTGGGTACGGAGGGGGCTGCTCGAAATTCATCTCTGGGACGACCGGTCACCTGAGGAGCAAGAACAACAGGAGCGAAGGTGTAACTTTTCACATTTGAATCAAGTCTGCTAAGAAAACACTGCAGTAAAGAGACAGGAAGAGGATGTGGGCGTAACATCATGTAAACACCAATTTCCAGCACTGATGTCAAAACAGAGAGAGTCAATACTTAGGGCAACAAGTCACATATTATAAATTAGTACAACTTGTTTTTCTACTTGTGTGCTGACATACCTGTAAAAGGATAATGTCATAGATAACGAACAATACAAATTCTACATACTTTAAATACCATCATTTACTATATTAGTGTATTTACAGTTAGTAAAGAGATAGTAAGTTAGTAATACGATAACAACAGTATAAACATTTTGGGGATATTATATATTGAACTGTGAAGCCAAAACAGTCCATCATCATGCTAGTTTGCAGTTATGTGAATGCATCCAAACTCTATTGCAAAATCAGAACAATGTGGTATTGTATCGACCGTGTGTGTGTGTGTGTGTGTGTGTGTGTGTGTAATTCAGCCTCGAGAGTCACATTAGGCAATGAATTCCTCCGAGTCCCGATATAAGAGCACAACATTTTCAGACAGGCACACAAGTGATGCAACTGTTTCCCAGAACAGAGCATATAGTCGCTCCCTAACCTCTCCACTTATCTCCTGCAGCGTCACGCCTGCTCAGCCCTCACATGGCGAACAATCACGGTCACACAGCCACGCGGGGAGAGACGAGTGTATCGCTGTTTGCATGTCGAGTGTGTCTTATGAGTCAACACTCAATCACGGCCCACATCACAGCCGACAGCGATGAGCTCTGTTTTCCTACTGCTCACGCTTTACAAATAGAGGAGTCAGCTTCAGAGTGCAGGGCGAGGTTCATCGAATATGAGAGCGAGAGAGACAGAGAGACAGAGAGAGAGACAGAGAGAGACAAAGAGAGAGAGAGAGAGAGACA